TTTGGGAGCATTGCAGAGTTTTGGAGCTAACAAAGAATATGAGACTTCTTGCAAACATTAGTGACCTTGAAAAGCGGGAAATAGAGGAATTCTCAAAGTGGATACTAGATGTTGGAGATGGAAAAATTGCACAGCCTAATGATGGAATTGCTATGATTGACATCCCAAAAGAGTTACTTATTACTCGGGATAAAGATCCAATCGAATCCATCATCGATGCAGTTTATGGAAATACTTTTATGGTGGAGAAAGATCCTAAATTTTTTCAAGGTAGAGCTATTCTCTGTCCTACTAATGAGGATGTCAACAACATAAATGAGCATATGCTGAGTATGTTGGATGGTTAGTTAACTTTTACCATTCCTTATTTATTTTTTTCAGATGAATATGATACAATTTCAATACAAGCTTATATCAAATTTGCATCCATATTCATTCTGTTTTTAGGTGAAGAGAGAATTTACCTAAGTTCTGATAGTATAGACCCTTCAGACACAAGTGCTGCGAATGATGTCGCATATTCTCCTGATTTTCTGAACAGTGTTAGAGTTTCTGGATTGCCAAACCATTGTTTGCGTGTGAAGATTGGTTGTCCGGTCATGCTACTCAGAAACATGGATCCTAATAAAGGTTTATGCAATGGGACAAGATTACAGGTCACTCAAATGGCAGACACGGTAATTGAAGCTAGAGTTATCACAGGTAACAAAGTTGGTAAGATTGTTCTGATTCCTAGAATGCTCATCACACCATCAGATGCCAGATTGCCTTTCAAAATGAGGCGTAGGCAATTTCCTCTATCTGTTGCTTTTGCCATGACCATAAACAAGAGTCAAGGACAGACATTATCTTCCGTTGGACTTTATTTGCCTAGACATGTTTTTTCACATGGTCAACTATACGTGGCAGTCTCTAGAGTGTCGTCAAAATCAGGTATGAAGATACTTATATCCAGAATATGACTGTTTAAATTATGTATAAGATTATTAATTTTACCCTTATATCAGGTTTGAAGATTCTTATAACAGACAAGAAAGGTAAGCCACAGAGTAAAACAATGAATGTAGTTTATAAAGAAGTCTTTCAAAACCTTCACTAAAGACAGTCATGGAAAGAATCTAAAAGAGTTCCAATTCGACTAGGTAAATTTGTTAACTAATCATAATGGTTTTCTCCATTCTTATAGACTAGAGTAGAAGTTGTTTTTATGACTGATGACATTATGTTGTTTTCTATTTTCATTTTCTACAACTTTTCAGCATCAAAACAAGGAATTGAAAGGATGAAGTATACTCAGGACGTGTTTAAAGGGATAAGAGTATGAAAACCATTCTTCTGCATTTGAAGAAGCAACAGCATTAGTTTTAAAGTTTTTCATTTTTTGGTATTTCTTTCATTTATTTACCAGACTCGAATTTAGATTATAGAACTTTTTCTTCTTCTAAACAAATGAATGCCATCACTCTGTTTAACTCAGTATATCGATTTTACAATTCTATTATGAATTCAATATTCTAATCTACATGTTTCAAAATCAAATGTTTCATTTGTTACCAAATCTAAAAAACGATTCATGCATCAATCAGTTCAATAACATATAGATCAATTTGTTTAACTAATAAACAATAGTGGTCATTATCAATTACCTGGACATTTATGTGTTTGTCTACTGTTGCAATCAGCTGTTCTTGAATTGCATGCTGAAGTAGATCAACCGTGTTTAGATTCCTCGCTGATCTTCTTCTTCACAACTCATTGAAATCGACAATTTCATTACCGAGAATTTTATTCAAATCTGCAATCAGCTATTGCATAATTTGTTGATTCTTAAATCGATATAATCATCAATCAGCTCATGAACTTAATTAATCGATTTCTGTAACTTATAAACAAAATCGTTCGGTTTGAATTTTACCTTTGATCACCACTCCGACGTGCTTCAATTACTCGAAATATATGAACGGATTGGGCAAGAAATTCAATCTGTGTTGTCTTTGAGGTCGAATTTGAAAAAATTTGGGTAGAATTCGACATTAGTTTTCTGGGATTAACTGTCTGAAATTTCCCGTTTGCCGATCTGTTTTTTTTTTTTGTTGTTGTTTTTTTTTTTTTTTTTTAAACAAACAAACTGGGCCAAATAAACCCAAAATAGCCCACTAAACAACTCAGACCAATACAACAATTTCTTTTTTATATCTAATTATCAATTACTACTTAACTAAATAAATTGTTAATCTTATAAAACAAAATACAAATCTAATACAACTAAATATATTCAATTCTAAGATAATATATACTACATCATTTTATTAGCAATTCATGTCTTCAACCAAATTAAAATTCATGTAGTGTTAAACAATATAAATTAAAGTAACCAACTATTATAAGGAAAATATATCTAAAATAAATTTTATAATATTATTTACTTCTACAATCAAAATATACAAATTATCGTCAAATAACTACTACACAATATAATATCCAAATAGTAATAAACATAAAACTATATGATTAATTCCCTTTTATACTAAACTATTACACTATATAATATCGCATTCACCACGTGACACACTTCAAGTTGGTGTTAGAATGATCAGGACCAGGGTCTATGGTGACTAACTTGACCTTGCTCTGGTCTATGGTCCAAAGAGACTATCAATTACCAAAAAAATTAGTTTGAACATCAATCAATCATAGCTAAGTTTTATTGAACCCAATTAAATAACTAAACTTTCATAGATAGTTGTCAGTTAAAGGAAGCACGTAGACAATGTGGGTGATAGACACAACCAATTGCATGTATAAGCTTTCTTCTTGGCCCAACGGCTAAAGCACCCATCTGCTTAAGCTTCTCCATGGTCAAATTCGCCATCTGAAACTTACTCATCTTCTGTCCTCTCAACATCCTCTCAAACTCTCTCCCTAATCCTATAGATCCAACCCATTCGTGCAACCCACCCGCTTTCTCAACCTTCTTCTCTAGATTCAACACTCTCAGCTTCTCATTATCAATAACTACAGAGCTGCACATCACTCTAGGAAACCTTATGGGCTTGTGACCCGCACGTCTCCTGTGAACCTCCACTCTTCTATCCTGATTCATTCTACAATCTTGAAGTGATCTCTTTGGTGCTGGAGCTTTCCTGGTTGTGAGACTGCGACTCATAACTATCTCCGGTTTGTCTACTGAGGTGAAATCAGGATAAGCCTCAGGTTCCACAGTGTGAACACGACTAGCTTCGTGGGTATCCGCAACCAGGTCTCTCAGCTCAGCTTGTGATTGAGAAGTTGCAGGCTTCTGCAAAGTGCAATGTTCAGTTACAGGAAGGGAAGGCACCACTGTGTGAACAAGAGTAGCTTTGCGCGTATCCGCTCTTAACTCAGCTTGTGATTGAGAAGTTGAAGGCTTCTGTATACTATAATGTTCAGGTACAGGAAGAGAAGGCATCGCTGTGTGAACAAGAGTAGCTTTGCGCGTATCCAATCTTAACTCAGCTTGTGATTGAGAAGTTGCAGGCTTCCGCAGACTGTAATGTTCAGGTACAGGAAGAGAAGGCATCACTGTGTGAACAAGAATAGCTTTGTGTGTTTCCGTTCTTAACTCAGCTTGTGATTTAGAAGTTGTAGGCTCCTGCAAAGTGCAATGTTCAGGTACAGGAAGAGAAGGCATTGCTGTGTGAACAAGAGTAGCTTTGCTTATCTCCATTCTTAACTCAGATTGTGATATAGAAGCTGCAGGCTTCTGCAGACTGTAATGGTCAGGTACAGGGGGAGAAGGTATCACTGTCTGAAGAAGAGTAGTTTCGTGCGTATCCGCTTGTGATTGAGAAGTTGCAGGCTTCTGCAAAACGAAGTGTTCAGGTAATAGAAGAGGAGACATCCCAGTTTGAAGAGGAGTAGGTACCACCACAGTGGGAACAGGAGTAGTAGTTTTGTGCGTATCCGCAAGAACGTCTCTTAACTCAGCTTGAGACTCAGAATTTTCAGGCTTGTGCATAATGAAATGTTCAGGCAGAGGAAGAGCAGGTACCACAGTGTGAAGAAAAGTACTTTCTTGCGTATCCTCCATGCTTTCTCTTAACTCAGCTTCTAATTGAGAAGTTATTGCAGGTTTCTCCATAGTGAGATGTTGTTCAGGTAGTGGAAGAGAAGGCAAAACAATGATGATTCTCTGCTTTTTAACAAAGACCCAAGCGTCTTCTTCTCCATCAAAACCTAACTTGGAAGGAACAGTCTTGCTCAGTTCCAACTGTCTAGGCCTTAGCTTCGCCATTATAACCTGAGATTTCAAACAACATTAAACTAAAGGAAACCAAAATAACAGTTGCTACAAATTTTACACAAATCACAAGGAAGAAACCATAGAGAATTGGAGAACTATGCTTTGAAAGACACAATCACTACAAGAAAAAAAAAATCATGTTTTTCACGATTTTGGGTAAGAAAAGATTTTGTTATCACAAGTTTCCAAGAAATCAAAGCAAATTTTGCAGTGAATGAATCAATTCTCGAACTTGTAATCGCAGAAACAGCACAATTCCATGAAAGGGATTAAGATATTACAATCGAAACTCCCAGTAAATTAGGGAGGATCAAACCCTAGAATTACAAAATCTTTTAATTTCTTAGCAGATGGAGAAATTGAGATAGTGGAGAAACAATTCGTATCCAGAAGCAGCTAAAGGGAAATGTCAACGAGTCGGATAGTCTTCTCTTACCTTTGAGTTTCTTTCTGGGAGTGACGATGACTTTCGTTGAGATCTCTCTCCGACCGGAGCAAATCTTTTTGTTTTTTTCGTTTTGTTTTGTTTCGATAGTTAATATCCGAAAATTAATTGTTAGTAGTAGTAAATTGGGGTAGACCTTTTTTTATCTCTTTTTTTTTTTTTTTCTTTTTGACAAAACACAAAATTTATTAGAGTTAATAACAAACTCTCATTTATTTACTACTTACACAAACCGTTTATTAAAATTCTCTCCGAGATTGCAGAAAACATATGTACGTCTAAATTTTGTTATATTGAAATATATAATTAATTGTTCCAAATATTATATTTTCCATAACAAATCCAACAATTGGACCCGAAGACTCTATAAATACCACATAATTTAGAGTAACTCTATAATCCACACAAGTCATAGCTAAGAGAAGCTTTCGCCTAAATATACTAAATTTTTTTTTTTGAAGTATAGGTGCAGATCCAATGAGTCCACCAGCTTCTTCAGCACGGATGTAGCCTACAGGTTGGAAGATAGTATAACTGCAGCAGCTAGAACCACAGCAGTAATAATGGCTGTACCTTTGACGCAGCCACTTTCACGGAAGAGTCTACCCAAGATCACTTTGCAGGACTTGTCAGCTTCAGTGGTGGCTTTTTTATTCTAAAAGAATCATAGGTTAGGTCAGAGCTGAAATTACAACTGAAAGGAGGGTGAAATAAGTTCTTAGAAGAGTAAGAGGCATTACCTTTAGCCTGATGTTCTTCATAGTTTGAATGAGAGTGATAGTATGACTCGGTGATGATGATAGTTTGAGGGAAATATCATTCCATTCATCTTCAAGCTTTTTAAGAACAGCAGCACTACCTTTTTGATTCTCCCAATTGAGTCTTTCCCATTGCTTGCAGCATTCTACGTTTTCGGTCAAAGACCAGATAGCCATTGCTGTAGCTTCCGTGGCTAAAGCAGGATTTCCTGTAACAACGGTAACACATTACAACTTTATTTGGAGAAGAGAGAGGGAACCAGAAACTCCAGCGATTCAAGATTCCATTTGTTACTAATACCTTTCCAGCGATTACCAGAGAACAATAGAATATT